CTCTCTCTGAAAAGGCAATCTGAGGGCAGCTTGAGTTTGTGTATGTGGAAAGAACAGTTCATACTTAAAATCTCAGCCTTTTTCCTTTTCTTCCATCTTTCCTTCAGAAAAGTGAATCTTTAGGTGTGCCATGTAAACACGTTTTTTACCGTGTTTGAAACAAAGGTGAAGTTTACAGTGCTGCAGTTATTCTTGTATTTCACGGTATATATTTTCCCTAAGTGGCTGGTTTGGGTTAAAGTTTATTACATTCTGGTTTAGAACTCTTAGCATAGTTATTCTGCAGATGTCAGTATTTTCCATAGCTGAGATGGAGATCAAATACTTCCAATTAATGCAAAATTTAAATTAGTCTTGAACTGTGGTACTACAACTGGCATCTCAGTAATGAACTAGCCACAGGAGGAAGCGGGTTTGTCAATGTACCATGACACAAAGCTTTGAGTATTCATCTAATCTCTTCTGGGATCATATTCATATATCTTGCTGCTCTCTTGAAATACACTTCCAGTGCACTGAATGACACAAGAATATCTGATGCAGCAAGCTGTAGGAGCGTGAGCTGCAAAGTCTTTTTGGCTGATGTATTTCAAGGTGGATAACCTTAAAAATCAATAGTGTCTGCTGCGCCACTCAGAATCATGATGGACTGTTTCTCGCTGATTCTCTTGCTTAGGCTTTGAATAACTGATGCTGTGCTGCTGCAAATTCTCATTACCAGCTCATGCAAGGGCTGGAGCAAGGCATCCATAGCAGGGCTGCTCTTTAGAGCAACTCTCTGTGTCTCTTACAGTTTGTTATCTGAGGTGCAGCTGTTGGTGAAGGTTTCGGGGGTTGGTTTGGGTTTCTTTCCATCATGATTTAGTTTTTATCATAGAATCATAGAATCATAGAATAGATTGGGTTGGAAAAGACCTCCAAGATCATCAAGTCCAACCCCTGATCCAACTCCAATTACTATAGCATGGCACTAAGGGCCATATCCAATCTCTGCTTAAAAACCTCCAGGGATGGTGAATCCACCACCTCTCTGGGTAGGCTGTTCCAATGCTTGATT